ATTGTCCATTTTTTAATTCTTTCGCTGAGATAAAGTGTTTTTTGGCATCGAGCATGCTGAGAGAGGAGCATACATTCGGAGCTCTACATCTTATTGTCAGCTTTATTAGATGTGGGACATCTCAGAAATGCTTAGAAGCAGTAGATCTGGCTGTTTCAAACTTTACTCAGTTCTAAATCATTTTAGATCTGAGTAAAGTTTGAAACAGCCAGATCTACTGCTTCTAAGCATTTCTGAGATGTCCCACATCTAATAAAGCTGACAATAAGATGTAGAGCTCCGAATGTATGCTCCTCTCTCAGCATGCTCGATGCCAAAAAACACTTTATCTCAGCGAAAGAATTAAAAAATGGACAATCGGCTCTACATTCAATTTGCAACCCTATTAAATGTTGGACAGCTCCAAAATGACGAGAAGCAACACATCTGGCTGTTTGAAACATAAATTTTATGTTTCATGAAGGCAGAAGCCCAGAGGCCCTATCTCAGCGAAAGAATTTAAAATTGATCAATTTGTGAATTTACACCTCTACATGCAATTTTCAGCCTTATGTTGGACATTTGGGAAATGCTGAAAAACAACACATCTGGCTGTTTGAAAATGGAACCAGGTCTAAATCTTATGTTTACTGAGAGCAGAAGCTGAAATGCTAAAAACGCTTCATCTCAGCGAAAGAAGCGGAAAATGGACAATTTGTGAATATGCACCTTTACACGCAATTTTCAGCCTTATTAGATCTTGGATATCTGGGAAATGTTGAGAAGCAGCCCATTTCGCTATTTGAAACTGGAACCATTTTTAAATCTTATTTTTCATGAGAGTAGAAGGCGAGAAGCCGAAAACGCTTTATATCAGCGGGAGAAGTTAAAAATGGACAATCTGAAGTCGCAGTTCTGGACCAAATGATGGCTCATTATAAGGTCTACAGTAAATATTTGATGAGCTTAATTAAAACCAATGACACGAGTTTTCCAACTAAGAGCAAGGAAACATCTGAACCTTTTCAACATTGACATGCTGAAAAGGTTGTTACTACCACCAGAGAGAGACCTAAAACATGCAGGATCCTGCCCTCGAGGACAGACTTTGATTACCCCTGCCCTAAACCAAACATGGTAGTTTATTTCCAGGTATGCTTTGGACTAACACTACTGATAAAAAAAGAACAACTTGCATTCCATTCCATTCATCAGCAAAATATTTTAAAAAACTGTTTAACAGTTAAGTAGACCTTGGTCTAGTTATTTTTAGGAAGCTTAAGAAACTCATTCATGCATCTCTTCAGTTACATTGAATACATTCAACAGTGTCACTCTGGTAAAATAAATAAATAAATAAATAAATAAATAAATAAATAAATAAATAAATAAATAAATAAATAAATAAGGCATTCTGCTTATCAGCTGAGGCTGATCTTTGCCTGTCCGATTGCAGCATGCATGAAGAATTTATCCTCCAACTATTTCTCTGTCGGAGGGGTGGCCAGTAAATGAGTTCATTATTTTATTAATGTAACCTATTAAAGTGAGATCACAATAAATGGATTTTGTTTGCCTTATTTCCTGCAGTTGTGTCTTCAAGTGTATTACATCAAGGTATTTAGTGATGCCATTTAACTGAGTAAATTGCCAGATTATAAAAAAAAAAAACTAAATTACTTTGCCCTCAATTATTTCCATAAATCCATGTAAAAACCTCTAGACTGGACTGTATTATATTGATAACTACACTCTTAGAAATGGCTGTAAATTTACAGCGGAATTCCAGCAGTAACATACTGTTATTCCAAAATACGGTAGGATACTGTTAATTTGATGTCTTCTTCTAATCAAGACTGACGACTGGCAGTAAACTACCGCAAAATAATTGTTCAATACAGTTTTTTTCCTAGGCAAGACATTTTACTTGTACTTGCATCTTAGAGAACCAGCATTTGAAGACAATATTAAATGGAAAGACAAAAATACTTTCCATAATAAATCTTTTAGGGAATGAATCGAAATCTACAGAGCATAATCAAAAGTGTTAGATTACCAGTGTTGGTGTTGTATGTTAAAAATACAATGTTAATTAAACATTCAAAGATAGTCAAATTCAAAGATAGGTTTGTCAGTTTCCCTAAAGAGATGGTGTTTGATAAAGAGTTGCTCCCACAATCGCAACGTATCTGTGACGTCACGTGTTTGCCCTGGAGACAGCAGTGCGTCTTGTCTGGAGCTTATCATAACAAGGTAAGTTCCCCAAAGCTATTAAAACATGCTCTTTTTGTTCTCTCTTTAACTAATGGTGATGTATTGTCTCAATATTTGTAACTCCCTGGCGGACATTATACAACAATGTATACTGTTATATATTTTGTATCTCAATAAAGATCTATTTAAAAACAAACAAAACAAAAAAACCAAGGTAAGTTCCATGTTAAGACCATCATGTTTTTGATTTTGATTATTTTTTATGAATGCATTAACTTTCTGTTTGCGCAAGAGTATCAACTTATGCTTGACGTAAAGTTTATTTGTTTGGATATCGCGGTACGACTGTTCAGTACAGGGGAGCTTAAGTCCAGTCCTTCAGAGCTATCATCCTGCAACTTTCAGATGCTTCCCTGCGCCAATTAACACACCTGAATCAAATGAATGGCTGGTTAGCAGGTCTGTTCGGAGCTGATCCTGGTCTGTTGGAGTAAAGATGCATCGAAAAGTTGCAGGACGGTGTTATAGATCAACTGGTGGCTAAATCAACTAGTGGTGGCAGCTGGTGTTTCTGTGGGCGTGGCTTTTTAGGACCCCTTTACCGAACCAGGAAGTAAACAATGCAATAAGCTTAAAGAACTACAAATCTTTGCAAAAATACTATCCGATTCCGTAAAACAACCACTAAGATCTCGGGAATAACTAATTAGAAAGACTTTATTGGTCTAATATGGTATGTTGCTTTTTATAAAAAAAAATAAAATAAAATAAAAAAAAGTTAATCTGCAAAACCATCAAAACGTGTAAATTACGCAGAACTTGTCCTGACTTATGTGTTGCTTCAGAGGTTGAAACTCGTCAAAGGAAGATCGAAATAGATCTCGATGTGGCATGAGCAGATCTCAAAGCAAAGATTATTCCCTGAAAGCCGACATAAATGTTGAAGAGCCTTGGGATTAAAAATGAAATGTTTAAAAAGATCGACTGGCTGTGTAATTTTTCCACATATTCCTCATATTGTGATATTTCAAATAGGTATCCACAGAAACTATAGCGAAATCTTTTTAACTGTTTCTGTAATGTTACACTTTATTCCATAGACATAATATAAGCATAGACGCCTCATGGACCGCTCCGGCGCAGGAAATACGGCGGCCATCTTGGAGCGGTATACCCTCCTACTTTGCTCAATCAAAACAGCAGAAGATGCCTCAGCACTGAGGGATATTGTTGTTCTGGTCGATGGATTACTGATTCGAGGGCTCCACAGACAACATTTCACAAGTAAGATGGACATATTATTGTGTATATATAGTGATTAGAATATTACTTTACTGTATTTATGTCCACCGGCGAGAACCACACCGCTCTTCCTGAATCCGCAGTTCAACTATCCGATGGACCCTCCTCTCCAGGGCCCCTGAATAGACCTTGTCAGAGAGGCTTAAGACTGTTACCCCTCTGTAATTGGAGCACACCCTCTGGTACCCCCTGGTGATGGTGATCTTTCCCAGGTCTTCCCACTGACATGGCCGTCAGTGGGAAGACGGCCATCGCAGGTTCGATTCCTGGCCTGTTGAGGCGACAGCCGCATCGAGGACTATAGCCTCCATATGTAGGATGTGCTCAACTCCTGCACCACCACAGCAACCCTGTATTATTAAATGTCGGCCAATCCAGGGGAACTTCTCTCAATGACCATGCAATATTGTAGAGTCGCATCAACCAACACAACCCTACAATATCCAGAGCTTTAAAGAACTCTGGGCGGATTTTGTCCACCCCTGGGGCCTTGCCACCGAGGAGCTCTTTAACCACCTTGGTGACCTCCTCTCCAGTAAATTGGAGAGCCTGACCCAGAGTCCCCAGTCTCCACTTCTTCAATGTTGTTGGGATTGAGGAGGTCTTTGAAGTATTCTGCCCACCGACCCACAACGTCCCGAGTTGAGG